GAATGTTTATTGCCTGAAGTTAATTGCATATCGATTATAAGATGGCCGAGTCCGAGGAGAGTATCTTGGACACTAACACGGTCAAGAATATTGGAAATAGCGGATACACATCAATTGTCAAAGAAAACTGGACATGTGGGATTGTTTGTGCTGTCATAGTTGCAATAGTCATACCTGTAATCCTCTCTGTTGTGCTGCGGGGAAAGAAAAAGTTGAAGCAAAGAGGATTTCCAGTTCAGGTTGGTGGCGAGACTGGTTTGGCTATGCGCAATGCTAAATCACTCAAACTAGTTGAGGTCCCATGGGAAGGGGCCACTACTCTTGCAGCATTGTTTGAGCAGTCGTGTAAGAAATATTCACACCAAAAATTTCTCGGTACAAGAAAGGTAATCAGTAAGGATGTTGTTACAGCTAGTGATGGGAGAAAATTCGAGAAGCTTCACTTGGGTGAGTACAAGTGGGAAAGCTATCGCCAGGCATTTGATCGTGCGAGCAATTTTGCTTCTGGTCTTGTTAAACTGGGACATGATGTGGACACCCGTGCCGCCATTTTTTCTGAAACCCGGGCTGAGTGGCTCATTGCTTTTCATGTAAGTTGTAGATTCTTGAGAAATTACACATTTCTCATTGTATTTATTTATTTTTTATTATTACTAATATACCTTTTTATTTCCTGGTATAATATTATCTTTATAATTTTCAGGGTTGCTTCCGTCAGAACATCACAGTTGTTACCATTTATGCTTCTTTAGGAGATGATGCCTTGATTCACTCATTAAATGAGGTGGTCATGATAGGATTGGTTTATTTTTGTTTCTCGTTCTAAGGATATTGCAATTGTTTTATTTCATGCGATTATATTCTTTTTTGCTTGAGTACATCTTCGGAGATCAATTCTTGAGATAATGACTGTAATAAAAGGTAAAACTTACTCATGGTCTCAAGTGTTTTTACAGACTCAAGTGTCAACCCTGATTTGTGATTCCAAGCAACTGAAGAAGTTGGCAGCAATAAGTTCAAATCTGCCAACCATTAGACATGTCATTTATTTTGATGATGAAGACTCCCCCGATAGTTCTACTTTTAGCCAAGAGTTTAGTAAATGGAAAGTTTCTTCATTTACAGAGGTGGAAAAAATAGGAAAAACTAATCCTGCTCCTCCTAATATGCCAATCAAGAAAGATATTGCTGTCATCATGTACACAAGTGGCAGTACAGGTCTCCCGAAGGTGAGTTTATATCTTTTTCACTTCATGCATCCAAAGAACCTACTGTTTTGGGTCATAAAATTAGTAATCAGTCAAAAATTGACCAATTAGAAGATTGAGTTTAGGATTGATTTCTATTCTTGTTTTATGAAGTTACCTTTACTGTTCTTGGAGAGAAGGATTCTTGCCAACATGTTTTTTCTATTAAATCTGTAGGGTGTTATGATGACTCATGGCAATATTGTAGCCACTGCAGCAGCAGTTATGACAGTGGTCCCCAGAATTGGAAGTAATGATATCTATGTAGCATACTTGCCTCTTGCTCATGTGTTTGAATTAGCTGCTGAGGTAGCATGTTTGATTCATTGAAATACTTTTATTATTGATTAAGGCTCGCAGGCAAGTTCTAAGATTTTTCCTCCTACAGACTGTCATGTTAACTGCTGGTACAGCTATTGGATATGGCTCAGCTCTGACGTTAACTGACACTTCAAACAAAATAAAAAAGGGAACTAAGGGTGATGCTTCTGTGCTGAAGCCTACTTTAATGGCAGCTGTTCCAGCTATACTTGACCGTGTTAGAGAGGGAGTTCTAAAAAAGGTCATTTATTTGCGGTGCAATATTTTTTATGTAACTTCTGAAAATGTTAATGTGTTACTTGATGCTAATTCTTCATATCCTTTTCATATAACTTATGGAAATGTTAATGTGCTTATTCTTCATATCCTTTTATCCCTTAGGTGGAAGAAAGAGGGGGTATGGTAAAGAGACTTTTCAATTTCGCTTACAAGCGCCGGTTGTCAGCCATAGAAGGAAGCTGGTTTGGAGCATGGGGACTAGAATCCATGTTGTGGGATATAATTGTCTTTAAGAAAATAAGGTCTGTACTTGGAGGAGATATCCGATTCATGCTTTGTGGTGGAGCTCCTTTATCTGGTGATACGCAGAGATTTATTAACATTTGCATGGGGTAATTTCTATGCGAACATAGAAGAATTGAAAATAGCGTGATTTACAGAAGTTACCACCAAAATTTAGAATAATCACTCAGGGGAACCAATTGCCTTTTAAAATACACGATATGCCCTTTATATTTGTTTGTCTTGCGATAGTGCACAAACGAAGAGTTCTATCTGTAAATATCAAGGGGGTATTTGTAACTTTAAAGACAAGTGTGTTCTTCTTGTATCAGTTAAACTTGTGAAATAATCTGGTTGGATATGCGATCAACCGTCTTCGTTTTTGTAGTCAGATCAACTCATAACGTGGCCAATTTTGTCTGTGGGCTTCTATAAGTTGTTACACAACATTCATTGTAGACTTTTTCTTTTTACTGTTTTGAAGTGCCCCAATTGGTCAAGGATATGGGCTGACAGAATCCTGTGCTGGAGCTGCTTTTTCGGAATGGGATGACCCTTCTGTTGGACGTGTTGGTCCTCCTCTCCCTTGTTGCTATATCAAGGTATATTTTAATAGGCATAATTCTGCATGCCCTTTCTTGGAATTAGTGAAGTGTGCAATTTTACCTCTATTTGTTTCATTTGAAACTTATTTTCTTAAATTTCTAAACTTACATTTTCACGTGTTAATGTGTTATATATTAGTTAAAATCTCATACAAGAGATGGAAATTCTAATGAGGGGATGCTATATGCTAT